ATTTTGATCTGTAGGCCAGATTCTCCTTTTAGGATCACTGGCACAAGTGAAGGGAGTTGTCCCAGTGAGAATGGGGAAATTGGCTTGGAAGAGCAGTACTCTCTGTGGAAACTTACATGAGTTCTTGTGCCTGTGAAACTATACCAATAAAAAGAAATCTGGCAGTGTGGTTTCAACGGCCACTTCAGAAAATTTGGTCCACCTAATTTATACAGGATGGCAGAAAGCCACTGCCACTGCACTTTTAAAAGTGTTGTCAGAGTTCTTTTGGGTTGGAAAACAAAAATACTGAATGTACTCTGTGTGCATACATTGAGTGAACAGAAAAGCATTATAAAGTGCTGCTTCTCCTTGTTGCCTGTGTGATTTAGACAGTAGGATAAGTTCAAATGACACCTCCTTGCACATAATATTGTGCTTTTGATTTGTTTTTCTGGTTCTAAGAAAGACATCTGAAGAAATCAATTAGCTGTACAGATGTAGTGATAACACAGGCCAAGGAAAGTGCATGCTTGGCAAAGAATAACCTTTGTAATACATGCATCTCAGCAGATCTGCCCTTGATTACAAATATTCATGACTAATGGTGTAGTTTTAATTGTAATGGAACACTTACTGTTGAGATGCTGCAAATGCATTGGATTTTCAAAAGCTTTTGTATTTGAATGTTTTGCCAGTTCTTGCTGAAACTGTTTGAGGGGCAATAATTTTCTACAGAACTTGCCAAAGCCAACTTGTAGTCAAGATATTGCATGACAAAAGTCCTAAATGAGGTAAACCACATTGATTAACAGAAAATGCACAAGTATTCTTTCCTTTCACATAAATTATTTTTCAGTATCTTGATTATTTTTCTGATGAAAATGGAAACTGAAGGAACAAAATCCTTGTGGGGAACTCATGCTCCAGTGGATGATGTCTCTTGATATGTGATATTCTTAGGAATACAGATATTACTGAATCGGGTCATAGTCAAGGTCTATTTTGTATGCTTTGCCTACTACTTTATTAGCATAGTCAAATAATTCTGAGAGAAGTGAGGCAGGATCTTCTTTATTTAGCTTAATCTTGCAATTTTTTGTGATTTCATTTTAATTATTAAGGAAACCAGTGTACCTAAATAAAGCTTACTATTGTATAATACATCAGATCACTCCAAGAGCCTTTTTCAAAGCCTGATACAACAGAGGAATGGGCTTATGGAAACAACATGAAATTCAGAAGGGACAAATGCTAAGTCCTCCACCTGGGATGGACTAACACCTTGCAATTGTAAAGGCTGGGAGGACTGACTGGTAAAGAGAACATGGCTGAAAAGGACCTCAGGGCCCCTGTGGACTGAGTGAAACATGATTCAGCAGTGTGCCCTGGCAGCAATGAAGGATAACAGCATACTGGGCTCTATCAACAGCAGCACAGCCAGCAGACTGAGAGAGCTGATTATCCCATTACTCAGCATGCACTAGACTGCACATGGAATAGTCTATCCAGTTTTGGGGCCTGCAGTATAGAGAAGATGATCGAGTTGAACAAATCCAGCAGAGGATCACCATGATAGTTAGAGGCTTGGAGCAATTGCCCTATGAAGACCAGTTAAGAAAAGCTTATTCAGCCTGGAAAACGCTTAGGAAGGCCTTTTAACAGCCTTACTGTATCTCAGAGAAGGTTACCAAGAGAAAAACTTTTTATCAAGGTGTGTTGTGTGAGAATGAGAGATAATGGCCACAAATTGAAATATTTGAGATTTTGATGGAGGTAAAAAAAGTTTCCCCTTAAACATAATTAAGCACTAGGTTGCCCAAAGAGCTTCTGAGATCTTTGTCTTTGCAGATTTCCACAACCCAACTGGATAAAGACCTGAGCAAGGGGGTCTGAATTCATTATTGTTCCTGCTTGGAGCAGGCAGTTGAACTACAGGACCTCTGAGAATCTAAATGATTCTGTGGCACAGAAGATGGTTGAAAGCCTCTTCTTTTAAAAATGTTAAATAGACAGTGGTCTCTTCTCAACACTGAGAAATTTGAAAAGACCTTTGCAATCTTTCATTATCTGTATTTCAAAAAATAACAATGTAAGATACTGCTTTGGAAATGCAAAATACGGATGTGATATCATCACCTGGTTAGTCTAATGCTATTTACAATACAGCCCCAGAAGCTGAGTGGCTTATTAACACCTGTGTTTCACCATCACAGAAGGACTAGGATGTAAGTAAATGCCTGTAACAAAGTATTTATCATACTTGGGCAGTGAGATAATACAGAGAAGTGTTTTATTACATGGAAGTGGGATTGGCACCAGCAATAACAGCTGTCAGTGTGAGACTCCCCAGAAATCCAAAAAATGACAATCATTCCATTCAGTGTTCACATTTTTGCAAAGAGCTTTTACTTTGTGCTTCAAAGGAACAGAGCTATAAATTAAACAGAACGATATGTATTCATATTTCTTCATAAATGTGGTAGATAGTGTGCCATATGACTGATTATAAATTAGGAATATAACCGCAGGAGAGAACCACAACAGAGATGGATAAAATAGTGAAGGCTGATGGGAAACAAACAAACAAACAAACATACAGTATGCCTGGAGAGCCCAAAACATGAGGCACACATAGAGTGAAAACCTAGTGACACCCAAGAGGCTTAAAAAGAAAGTCTGCAGATTTTGAGTAATTCCTCTGTGAAGATAAATACAGGAAAGACAAAATGAGATTGCAACCCTAGTAGAGTGGGAAATATGTGCCTCTTGCAGGTGTTCGATCACTCGAGGCAAAGAGCTTGTGAACATTACATAATGGAGCAGTAACAGCCTCCCAGCTCTGTGGTCTGCACTGCTGCCTGGAATGCAGGGCTTCACATACCAAACACATTCAGCTTTTGATCTCTTCCACTGTAGTGTTACTGTGTGGATCACTTTTATGGGAAAGTATCTTCACTTGCACAGTGATGCAGGGGCCTTTTGATGACATTTCTTGGTATTTCCTGGCCTTTGGTGAGCATTCTAGGTAGATTCCAGCTTTGAGATTTCCTATTTCTGTTCATTCATCTGTAAAATGCATGAAATAACTCTTTCTTCAAAGATGGTATAAGAATTACCATGAGCAAGAGACCTGTTCAGGCATTAGTGGTAACAGCTGTAGAGTGCTCTTTCCTGGAAGGATACTATTCCTCTAAGTATATCCTTAATGTGATGAGGTCATATTTGAGCATGTGTCTTCAGAGCTGCCCATTCCAATGCAATGTCTTGTCTTTATGTTACTAGGCTGCTAGGCCACTGTAGCAGTGATATAATGATTGCTCAGCTTGAGAAGGCAGTAACTGGACATAAACCTGCAGGTATTAAGGACTGCTTGGACTATTCCATTTGCAAATGGTTCCAATACACAACATCACTGTAAGAGTCCCTAGAGTTTTGGAGAGTTGACAGTTGATGCAAGAATGGCATTTCCACTTATAAATACACTAGGTCCAGTTTTGTGCATAGTTGCTCCTTTAAGGACAGACTTCAGAACTCCAGAATGAGATCTTCTATCTCGTGTGGTGTTTCTTAAATACTATTGTTCTCCAGAGGAGGAAACACTTCTCCAGCTTTTGTTGTAACCTGAAGTTCAAGAACAGTCTTGCAAATCTGAATGATTCAGTTTGAGTATTTGCTCCCCTTCATATAACTCAAACATGTGCATCCAGCCCAGTGTATCGAAAATGTGGCTTTTTGACCCTGCAGAATTAAATTTGAGATTCATTGTTACAGTCTGATATTTCAGATTTGCTTTTCTTTTTAAATGCACTTTAATAAATATCTGCAGCCAAAGTCCAAATCCTCAGATGCTGACAACTAGCATTGTTCTTTGAGTTAGCACAACTATGTCAACTGAACAACTGCTCCAGTGAGTACTAGCTAGAGAGGGATGCACTAATTTTACAGAGGCATGCAAAGAACCCAATTTGCAGAGTGAATGAGTATGTTTAGAGAACAGACTTATGTAATTCATCTATTTTGAGGATTAGCCATCCCCGAAGTTCTGAAAAAGGTAACTGGGTTGGCCTATTTATAGTCTGTTCCTATAGTTACAGCACAGATGCTAGCATGGAACAAAACCAAACTGTTAGCTCAAACCATCTCCTCTGTGCACTTTGGTAAATTTATACTCTCACAAATGTTTATAGTTCTCTCAGATACAAAGAAATTTTGGGGGTTAGGATGCCACTCTTGCCTCAGCAACTGTTTGCACATTAGTATGCCTTATTTCCCACTAGCTTCTGACCATGCATTTGTTTTTCAGGTAATTTGTATTACAGAGATATGCAGAGCCTCCTTTTATAGGAGTTTCTCCAGAGAGAGGAGAAGGGGCAGTGACCCTGGAAAAACTAATGCAGTAATTGCCTTAATTATCCAATCTTTAATTTTACCAGGCTGCTAGGGATGATGGCTCAGAATATTCCTTTTCATGATCCTCTCTTTTGTGAGATGCATTGTAGGATCACTGTAAAACTACAAAGCCATTGTTACTGCTACAGGATAACTGTTCATCAGAATTAGTGGAAAAATACAATCCATGCTCAAAGAGATCACAGTCCTGAGGTTATGCAGAATTGTGCAACTTACAGGAGGGGAAGGAACAATTTGTAGCAGTATACTGTAGGTTTGGGCTGCTTCTTATAGATTCTTTTTATGTATAAATGTTTGCCTATATAGGGTAATTGTTATCTTTTCTTAAATACTGGGAAACAGCCAGTTGTTTTGGTAATGGGCAGTAAAGCAAAATGCAAAAGAGACAAGAGAAGAAAAGTTATCTGGCCAATGGAGAAGATCCTGTTCCTAACATAGGGGTACCACAGAAAAAGTAGTTAGGAACAGGGTTCTAAGAGGAATAGTCATTTTAGTAAGGATTATGAAGCATGGAAAATTAAGTGACTTGATTAGGCAGAATTGGTTAATTCTTACCTTAACTAGTCTATCCTATGAGATAGGGAGATCACAATGTAAAACAAAGGGTAGCAGAAAATAAGGGCAGAAATACCAGGTTAGGTCCTTCACTACTCAGTTATACAGTGTAAGCGAAGCAAATCTTTATTTGTTTCTATCCTAGCCCAAACTGTAGAGATTAAAATGGCAATATACAATGCACCGAAGTGGGGATATAGGCCTTTTACAAAAAGCCTAGGAAATTAAGATGAAGAGTCTGAATTCCAAATGGAAGAAGAGACACAGCCTTAGCAATAGATTTCAGCAGTTGCTAAGCAGTGAACTAAGTAGCTTAACTAGAAAAAAATTAAATCAAGATAGTCTGTTTAGCTTTGTGAGAGAGAAGAAATACACATCAGCACAGAAGATCTAGAGGAGACGTACTGACTAGTAGAATCTATATAATGCACTGAACTACCACTACAGTTAATAATAATAATGCTCTCACTTATTGAAGATCATAGTAGAAGAGGCCAGGGTGATGATGTGTAGAGCCAAACTCCAATTCTTAATTCTTTTGAGTCTCACTGGCTCAACACAGAGCCTGAAACAAAGAGACCAAAGCAAGTAACTGTTAAGCACTGAGACCCATACATCTCAATGTAAAGTGCATTTTCTCATAGACCACAGTGTGAAATCCAACAAGAAAAAAGAAAAAAGTAAAAAGCAGAAGATGAAGTGATGGATGCTCCAAATGTGCTAGACTTTTTGGTGAACTAGATTCTCAGAATTATTACAAGAATTTCATGTTAGTGCTGATATTTCAGGAAGGTCTAAGAAGAAAAATGAGTTTTGAATACATAGAAGGATTTAAAATATACATATAATGCAAATACAAAATGTCTTTTGAGTTCTGTAAGAGAAAACTGTTAATTCAAGAATTGGATTTTAACAACTATTAGTAATCCAGCTAATAATTTTGTGAAGAGGATTGATTAAATAAAGAAGGGAAAATACAGAAAAAGTATTAACCTTTTAGAAAATACTATAAATATGTGTACAAACACATTAAGATAATATCTTGAAGAAGCTTCAGGCCAAAATATTTAACTCCAGAATTAATCTTCAGTAAGTCTTCTACATAGAAGTTTTTATTTAAAGGATTTTATTTCTGGGACAGTCTTTAATATATAACTTAGAATATTTTATTTGCTGTAATAAATATCTGAAATAATGAAAAGCTTTGTATAAAACACAACACTTTTTTTATCTTAATAACACCATTATTAAAGGGTCTGCATCTTCTTGTGTGCTTGCATAGCACCTAGCACAATATTTTCTTTCAAATGCCAAACAAAACATTGATTTTTGCAAGTTCTCTATATTTCCAAGTTTTTCAGCTGACTATGGACTATAATATTTTTCAGGACATTCACTGGATCGAAGGAAAGGCATGAAGTATCATCATTCATTTATAAAGTGTACACTTCATTCCCATGAGATTTTGTCAAGGACCAGAATGCTTACTTGTATGCTATCTGCTCATCTGCAGTGACTGCAAAAAGTATGGGAATATGAGCTTGAAATGTCTTTTCAGTAAAAAGGATAGAAAAATACGTGGCTACCTGCATAAAACATGCAGACCTTCATTGTTCCATCCTGTATCATCCCGAGTCATCGTTTTTTAAATTTTATTTTATGCAGAGCTAGCACATTCATTTTTATCATGGTTTTAGGTCAAACCTGACACTTGCAAATATCTGCTGCTCCCTACCTCCCACTTTTAGGATCAAGTTGACAGCAGTATTTAATTACTCAAACCATTATTAGTAGATGTCTTAATAGATTTTAAAATGATGATTTGATAGGATGTGCATGTATTTGGCTGTGTGTGCAATGCAGAAGAGAGGTTTCCTGAATCCTGAAGTCTTGAGTGAGGTCCTTCAGACTGGGGAAGATAGGCAGTGAATTTTAGACTCAGCCCTGTTTCAGTGTTGCATTTCTCTCTGGGATTACTCGTGCTCTCAAAGCTGGTTTCCTTGTATGGCTTGTCAAGGATGCTATGTTGGTTTCAAGGGTGACAGAAAAGAACATGAGCCCTCATTAGAGCTCCAACTACACTGTATGTCACTAAAAGGGAACTCAAGCCTGCACAAAATATTTGGAGCTAGTATAGGCCAATGAAAACCCTGGCCTATGTAAGACTATATATATATGTGTATGCATATGCCTAATTCCATTTGGTATTGATCCCCAAAATCTGATAATCCAACAGTAGTTTTGAGTACTGCACTAGTTTCCTATGTACTGAAAAAGGTCATATAGTACTATACTGTTCATTATAGCAATGAATTCAGCAAAGCAGTAACAGCATGGCATTTCAGTGTCATGAAGGCTAATATTCCACTAATTACTTGCTGTAAAATAATTTAAAACTTTTAAACCCCAAGTAAAACCTATACTTTCACACACAATTCTACAAATACTTTCACATTTAGTTTACAATTCACTAACAGCACTTTAAAAATGTGCCGATATGTATGTGCTAATCACAGCTTTAATTATTGTTCATGATGCACAATAACATTTTTGCTACTGACCATTGAAATATGTCTCTGTACAGGCTAAGAGGTACCTCATCTTCATGACTTTCCTTAACAGACATTTTAGCATTCCTCCAGGCTACTCTGGGCTGTTTCATCAAGCTTCAGATTCTTGTCATGACAGAGAGATGAGGTAAGCAGGGCTCTCCGTTTAGGCTTCAAAACAGCCATGTAATGTTATGTGAAATTCTATGCAGCCATGGTATAGGGTGGCATGCAGGGAGCAAACACACATACATTCATGATCGTATCATCAAAGCCTGGCATGTCCATGATAGATCAAAGGAGAAATTCTGTAATAAACTGGATAGCTCTGTGAGATAACATGGCTAGGTTACATTGAGAGCTAACAGGGGTGTCCACTCAGATATTGTATGTGCTTCATTTAATCAGTGAAAACTCTAGAAATAATCTGGATCACAGTTACCATTACAGTGTCCAGTTTATCTCCCTAGGTAAGCAAGTGTACCTAAAGTCAGGTGACTGGGACTAGAAATCTACCAGCCCCTGTTTTCTGTTTTCTCTCTGATCTTTTTCTCGGTGATGTCTTTGCCTAAATGTCCATAACTTAGAAATATCATCAATATATACTTCCTTCAGAAAGAAATCAGGCAAATTCAGGAACATTGTGATACTCAGATGAAAGATTTTCTGTAGCTAGAAAAAAACACACTGGCAAGCAATTATTTGCAAATTCGTGTTTGCCAATAGCTGCTAAAAACACATTGTATGAAGCAGATTGGACACAAACAAAGACTGTGATAGCTCATCTTTTGATTTTCATATAAGTCTCTGTGTTGGTTTTTATCTAATTGGAAACTAGCATGTGGTCAAAGCTTCATCTAGCTGCAAGAACCCAAAAACCACCTGAAGATACCCAATATTGTTTACATAAATTACCAAACATGCTGCTGTGGTATTTGAAAAGCCACAAATCTTGTCAATCAAATGAAGTTCTAAAGAGTTTACTGACTGTCACTTTGGTTCTTCATTGTGTCAAGGCAGAAACATTCCATGGACACATTTAGAAAGGTTGCCTCACCAATCATCCTGTGTGTCACCCATTACTTTGTTCCCTTGCTCAATGATCTACTAATACTCGCTTAGCCACACTTGCAGTTAGAAAGCTTTTTATCTGGAATTATGCACTGGAACAAGCAAAGTGGAAAAAGCTTTTGTAAACAGTACAGAAGTAATTTCACTGCAGTATTTAAGCCTTAAATCTAGAGCATGAAGGATTCTGTAGGAATATTAATACACCAGATTACGTAATTGATTTGTGAAAATATGCTTTAGTGCCTTAAGAATATAATTGTAGAAAGCTGTGTCTTCTATCCATATTCCAGTAGTACACCTTAGTATGTGTTCAATTTCAAGATGCAGTATAATACTTTTTCCTGACAAAATGAATAGAATATATGAAGTACATTATAAAGAATTCAGAATTTTTAGAATTTGGCCATTGTTCACCTACCTGGCTGTAAAGTCTGTCTAATTACTTTCCTCTTGTTTTCAACCCTGGAGTCTGATTACATTCAATGGAACAAATTCAACGTAAGTGGCACACCACCTGCAAACAAAGCAACACAGATTTTTTTCATGCACAGTTGATTCAAGTATCTGTACAATCTATAAGGGAAGGTCAGAGAAGGGTAGTTTTCTGACTGATCAAGAAAAAGCCTTGTCAGAGGAAAAGGCTATGGTCAGCTCTTCCTTCCCACACTGTGATTCCAGCATCTCCAGTTCTTCAGCTGTCTCCCTCACCTTCAGAAGTGCCATGCCCTTGTTTCATGTCTATAATGTCTCGTGGCACAGAGAAGCCATCACTGTAATGAACTCTGTAGTATTAAACACCTATAAAATATTTACCACATTCCATATTATTTAAATTTTATTACACCTCATTGTGTTAAACTGAAACAACAGTGTTAAACCAGAGTTAAATCAAACAAGAAATTGAAAATTAAGGGCACCATTTTGACTACAGATTATTTCCATTTCCAAGGGTGAAATGGAAATCTTATTCTTGTTAATCACCATCCCTGGAAGTGTTCAAAAAACATGTAGATGAGGCCCTTAGTGACATGGTTTAGTTGCCCTGGCACTGCTGAGGTAGAGGTTGGACTTGATGATCTTGTAGGTCTTTTCCAACCTAGTTGATTCTATGATTCTATATTGCTATATTGTCTCATTTCCAGTATAACATTCTATGGTTTTAGATGATGATAAAGAGAACATTCAGTTCAAGCTTAGGTCTAACCTGAGACAGTTTGCTGAAGAAATAATCACAAATTTGAACTACAATCTACTAAGCATTATTGTATTTCAGCCTAAGTCTCATTAAAAGTTACCTGCTCTCACTTCTTCCTCTTCCAAAGGAAAAGAAATTTCAGTATCGATAATGCAACATATACACCAATAGTTTGCAATCAGTTTTTGAATCAGTTGCCTTTCTCTCATAGATACCCAAAACATTTAATGTTTTATAGTTTGTTGACTGCTCTGTTCAGTTGTACCCAGTTTTGTGCATTGGCTCATTCACAGCCTGCTATTTTCAGAATATGAAAACTCAGGATCCACAGTGTTTTCCCTCCTTTTATTCTAAGAGAAGTAAAAAATCATTTAATTTAGGTCATTCCTCATTTGTAGGCACTAGAAATTCCTGAGAAAAACTTGGGGGGGGGGTCGCCATTTTTGCCATTTTCTTTATATACACAGTCTTAGACCTACAAAGGATCATGAAATGCCTTTTCATTGAGGAGATAATTTTTTTTTTTTTTTTTTCTGTCATGAAAGTTTATATACCTCTTTTTCACCACAGTCTCCGTAAATGCAGGGAGTCTTAAGACTCCTAATGAACAGCATTTCAGCACGTGTTAGCCCTGGCTTCCTGCCCAAAAGTGATCTGATTTTTTTTAAGGGATGCTTAAAAGAGAAAAATTTGAATCTGAACATGAATCTTCATCTTTCTGAAACATCAGAAGAGCTCAAATCCATTTTCAACTCATCATTTCATGGTGGAAGCACTGTGTCCAAACAAAAATGTTCACAATTCCCAGTATTATGTAAAAAAAGCTGCACTCATTTGGTCCATTATCTGTCATTCCCACATTTGATATGCCAAGTTTAGCAAATACAGATGACATGGGGTAAGTTATTAGCAGCAATATTATAAAATAACATAATTTCTGTATATCAGGGATAATAATCCAAACCAAGTAAGTTATTTTTTCTGCATATACAGAAAAAGCTATGCCCATTTTGAGGTGTAATTTAAAGTTTCTTTAATTACAACCGTGGGTTCTATTTATTTACAAATAGTGGGGTACATATTCCGTATTTTTGTTATTTTTGTATCTTCACTTATCTGAGACAAACAGTGCAATTCTAATTTGTCTTGTGCATTTTTCACATGGAAATATTTTTGAAGTATTAAGTTCAGATATCTTTGAGATTTCAGGTACAACATATTTAATACCTTTGAATAAAAAATCCTATTTCAGAGTTGTTTCAAAGACTAGGTATGCTGCAAAGAAGCCGGCTAAAACTACATCTTGTTTAAGGACACCTGCACTAATATACTGTAAATTGTCTGAAGTGACTTAAGTGTTTTCTGGTATTTTCTCTGTCTCAGTTTTATACAAAGCTCCAAGCTGGGGTCTCTTCCATATTTACATGTCTTTTGTAAGGAATACAACTCCAACTAGAATAATAGTGTCAGCAACTCAAGTCTGCAAACACTCATTTTGCAGTTCTTACTAATGGCTTATTGCTGATTTCTGCTATCAGTTGCTGCCAGTTTATATGAAAGCATGTTTTTTTTTTGTACACAGACACTAGATTTTTTTCATGTTTGTCCTTTAGTTAAGGCTTTGGTAGAGGTTCCATAGGAATGCCAGGCCTCTGTAAAAATACTGCCATGTTTAAAGGTTTTACAGATGTTTGTTATGGTAAAATCTAAAAAATGCAGCTTTTCATAATCAACTGTGTAGACATTTTTCAAATCCTTTCCTGGCTTGCCATGTTCATTGCACGTTTTTAGTCACTAAAGCCTTCAATTAGTATCCCTGGTGGCCACACCAGATACAAAACATACTGTCCCCATAAACCTTTGTTTACTCTTTCTTTTTGTGTAGGTGTTAGGATATTGAGGACTGAGAATATAATGTTGGGAGACTCTCTACCTTGTTTTCTTGAACTTGTTTAAGTGGATTATTTCTGTACTTCTCAGTTTCTCAGTTTACTGCTTACTGAGGGAACTTCTTTAGAGTTTTATGGAGTTTCTGTTTCTTCCCTTCCTTTCCCCTTGGGAATACCATCTATATAAATCAATATTGTAAAATATCTTTTTTACGTCTTATTGAAATACAACAGATATATAGTGTAACCAAAAAAGCATTAATGGTAAAAGCAGTAATAGCTTCCAAATGGTGTGTTAAAATATGCAGATGTAAACTTTATTTCAATTTTTATTTTCCTGGAGAAATACGCTGGAACTCAGCAGAAGCACCTAATGTAGGAAAAATACCTTGCAGCCAAAAATAATCTTTCTTCAAACATACGGGAAAGTATTGCTGAATTACACATTTCCCTTCTTAGAATGTAGGCAAAGAGTTACGTATTTCTTTTCCAAAATTTATAAAGTACTAATTTACATCACAGCCTGTTTGAATGCTTCCATTTTAGGAGGCACATTTGAGAGATGGTGGGATATACTTAAGTATAGGTGTAACAGAAGAGTGTATTTTAATAACTTTTTTGTACCACCAGCATCTCATTAAAGACATGATCTACTATCATCCCAGGGCCTCTGCTCCTCTCCAGTATATTCTTTCACAAAGAAACCTAGTATCTGAGCTCAACAAGTATTAGAGATGTTAGCTTTTCAATATTTTGTTATAATCTTGCATTTGTACATCACTAACCTCACTGCCCAATGTAAATTTTACCTGCCTTCATTTAGCAACATAAAGTTTTCTTTGCAAATCATTTCAACAGCTTCAGAGATCGTTTTCTCTTCAGTACAAAACTATGAGGAATAGGGAATCTGAATTTAAAAGTCAAACTTCTTCACAGGTACCCAGGATACTTTCTTTTTGCTGAGATCTTTCTTTTCCCTGTAAATGCCAAATTAACAAAAGCATCTGAGGGTGGGTACATGAGGGTCAGGAGGGTGTGTGTTGAGAGTGACATCAACTGAGACAATAAAAGGGCTTCTAAGTTACTTAGAAGCTCTATTTTAGAGTTACATTTAAGGGGTTCACTGAACCAATTCAGTAGTCTTTAAATATACTTGACATCAAGAGACAGTCATCTGCTGACATACCCAAACCAGAAATCTGTGTAAGATACTATCTGGTAAGTATACTCTATTTTATTTCCAAGTTCTCTAGAAGACTTACTTAGAAAATGTTATCATTGATTCTTTGTTAATTTTTACATTACCTTCTGTTCAGCCTATCTTAAAAATAAAGTAGTACAATCAAATTGTTTTATTATCTGAACCAAGTTTGTGAAATAAAAAAAAAATTGTGGCAATGAGTTAGAAACATCTTGAAGAAAATCCAGATCCTGACTGCTGGGACCACATTCAGGCTGTCATGTAAGATACCGTTCAATAAATGCTTTCCTGACCCAGAGTAAAGCTGCAGAAAATACTGCAAAAATGTATCAAATTTCTTAAGCTATAACAAAAAAAAAATGCTTATTCTGTCTGCCCATACTGAAAATCCAGACTAGAAACTGATATTTGGACTGTCATTTCTGCCTGTTGTAGCATCAGCATTAATAAATATTTCTCAAATATATCCCAAGTGGCAGTTTTGCTGCTGATGTACAAAGCAGAGTGGAATTCATACTGGCAGTGCAGGATTATCATTTAAAAATCTGAGGTGCTCAATTCTGATTTCTCTTATGGAATTAAACGGGGAATGACATAACTCAGTAGAGTTATGCCTTCATGCTAAATTGTCAAGAAAATTGTCAGCCTCTTCATTCTAAAGAATATGCAATGGAAATAGATAAAAGACAAAACTTCTAACTTGCATAGCTAATATACAAGTATTTCAACATACTTGGAGTATATGAAGTATGAATTTAATAATAATAACAACAGCAGCAACAATAATAATGGAAGGGCATGTTGCTTTTCACCAAATTATTCAGTGGATGGGTACCTAGATGGTGATGATGATGATGATGATGATGATGATGATGATGATGATGATGATGAGGCAGGGCAACTAAACCAAAGACCAAAGTTCTTAGACTTGCCTATGAAGTTGCTTTCAAAATTAGTATTAGAAACGGAGTCTTTGTTTGCATGCCTTTCTTTAACTCTGTTCACAAAAAAGTCTATTTTTCAAAATCCCTCCTTTGATGCCTGCCTTCAGTTTTTTTCTAAACTAAATTTATTTGGAACAAACAGAAATTGCTTGAAATACAGATTCATACATGTATTCATTTCTGTCTTTGTAGAGAAAATGACCTCTATAAAAAATCTGGCCAGGATTGCAATCATTTTATATGCCATATGCTTTTTTACAAACTCTGATGGAAGACCAATGATGTAAGTACATTATTTTACACTTCCAAAGTTTGGAGGATGACTTAAGGTGTCTTGAGAACCTCATTACTTTGTCTGCATGTAAGTTTATATGTATGTGAGTCTTTCTGTCTCTGCTTTTGAGCCTGTTGGCCAAGCTGGCCAAATTCTGTCATCTTAGATACAGCTGTAGAGCTCTCAGATACTCTGAGCTCTTAAACAGTTTGTGAAAACAGGCAGCTGAGTAGAGGGAGAAAAATCATGTAAGTGATCTCCTAGGAATATCACTGGGTAAGGTTCATCTCATAAGGCACTTACGGGGTCTGCACAGGATAGCATTTTTTTACTGTGTGAGAATCTAGCTGGAACTCACACTTAGACATTAACATCAGTCAGCACTGAGGTACAAATCCACAGGAAGACATGCTTCCTTAGCTCTAGTGTTCACAGAAAACTACCCCTGAATAAACACTGCAGTTTTATTAATCAGTGTCTTACTATTGTATGTGTCCTAACATATCTACAATAGCTAAAATAAATCATGGTCAAACAATTTCATCACAAAAGTGCACTATTTCCCATTTTTTATGTCTTCTCACTAATATATCCATTACCAATAATAAGCCTCCAGCGACACTCCTCTTCTCCAGATGCGATTCTACCTCTTACGAATAGGAAAGGTAAGTCTTATGGCTCTGTATTGTGGTATCGCAAAAAAGGTTCTCAAATAGCAGGTTTTGAGATCTAGAATTCAAGAGGGGCCACTATGAGTCTCTTTCTTTGCTTTCCTTTCATGCAGGAAAAGATCAGTGAGTGAGATGCAACTAATGCATAATCTTGGAGAGCATAGACACACCATAGAGAGACAGGACTGGCTTCAGATGAAACTGCAGGATGTGCACAGTGCCCTTGAAGATGCTAGGACCCAGAGACCTCGAAACAAGGATGAGATTGTGCTGGGTGAGATAAGAAGTCGAAGGCTGCTTCCTGAGCATTTGCGGGCAGCAATGCAGAAGAAATCCATCGATGTGGACAAAACTTACATGGATGTACTCTTTAAAACAAAGCCATAATGGAAAAAGTCAGAGCGTTATATCTGTCCAAGTAAGCACATGTCTCTATACGATTGATCAAGTAGGGCATTTTATTATTATTTATTCAGACTGCAATAAGGATTAAAGGCACCATTCAAGGTTGTAGCCCTGTTGACCTAGACATTTCACAACCAAATAGTAAAATGTGTTTGCAATTTCTGGGTATCTTTTATATGGCTAATGTATCTTAGAAATTTCTGGTATAAAAAAGAAAAAGAAATCCAAAACAGCAGGAAAGTTGCAGACATTTAAGACCAGTTCTACTGCTTTTACATGGACGGTATTTGTATGTAATCACTAGGCCTACTCCTACTGTTAACTAACGCTGATTAAATGCAGTAGAACCTGTCTACAGAATAGGGCGCTATTTTGCCAAAGGTTAAATTTTGCTTAACTTTGCACTAATGAAAATATGTAAACTTAAATCCACAATTATTTTTCGAAGACGGCCTAAAATCAGATTAACTTTAATTACATAGCAAAAGCTGAATGTTAAGCATTTAGGATTAAAGAATGCAAACATAAAGTAGGAAGGTGAAGTTTGAGATGAAATTACAGTGGGATAAAATTAAAACAAAATCTGTATGAAATAGGAGGATGGAATTTTGCAAAATACTGAAATGAAGGGAAGGTTTCATTGCCTCCCCCTCTTCCAAAAGATGATAACCTATAATTAATAGCAGAAACACTGGGAGCAGAGAAATTAGCATGTGGTTAAGCATGGCCCCTAACTATAAAACTGGCAAATTATTGTATATCAGACAATTACAATTGAAACAAAAGTCTTGCAATATGTATTTTTTGTCCCTCATTTTCACTGTAAACTATATCTGAATTTCTGTATGTTGTACTAGGCCTCCTGTGTAAATATTTTTTTTTTGTGAGACCAGTGGCTCTCATAAATAAAATGCATTTTTATATGCTAATTTTTTAGAATTAGGAATTCAGTTTGCAAAGTCCCCAAAAATGAGAACCAGGAATCAGCTTGGGAGAAGAACCATTAGCTGGTAGGACTATAACAGAATCAGACATAAACAGCATAAATAGGGGTGGAAAAAATTCAATTATGATAATAATTTTTAAAAGTAGCAAATAAAAAAATATTTCAAATGGTATATGCACATCTTCTTAGGACCTTCAATCATTTCTGACTAACAATGTTTTCTCAGTAGGGATAATGGTGGTTACCTCCAAATTTGCCATTGCCAGAGCTCAAATCTAGACGAATTGCTGCTCTAAGCCAAACAGTTTGCATGGATGTTCCGGTACCATTTTGTATTTCTTTGTTTGATGTCTAGCACACCTTGGGAAACCTAGTAAAAAATCATAAATTATTACAAATATAAATGCAATTTTCTGGAAGCTAGAAAGGTACTTGTAACTAGCAAAGTGTAGTTCATAATCTTGGCTATACTTTTAGTAGTGTAGAGGCTCTGATGCTGCAAGCAGATGGTACATCTGTGCACATCAGTGCCCTCTCACACATAGGCAAAGGTTCCATGCTACTTGCCTCTTTGTAGAATCAAGGCCTTGAAGTGCACTTTCTATTTATTCTTTCATCAGACATCTGTGCTAACTTAAATGAAATTGCATTTTTGTACTTATGTCTCACTTATATATTACCAAATAAAGTGGACCAAAAGCTCTTGGACATTATTTTAAAGCATAATAACTGACTGATGTGTAACTATTCTGATATAATTTAGCATTTGGAGCAAGGTTATTAAGCCATCTTACTTTATTAGAGCAATATAAATACAAAAATAATGATAAAAGCAATTTTTACTTTTCCTTTGGTCTTTCCTGCACACAAAAATAACAAAGATTATAGAGAAGGGGTTTACCTAGCACAAGTGTATTTCTGTTCCTTACAATACTGACACATGTGCAGAAACTGTACAACCTTCAAGCACCAAATTAATAAACCCTTACATTTTTACATTTTTATCTAAAAAAAAATTCTATTATCTAAACAACCTGTTCTTCCTAATCTTCAGCTATCCAGTAGATGAAAGATGCATACACAAATATTTAAACTTTCTGTACAATTCAAAAAAAATACTTGTTGCTTATGAAGGGCTTCAGGGTCAGAGACAGGATACACCACTCACTATAGCTTAGCTGGAAATATGGCCAAAGACAAACTGTGCTCAGCACTGCCTTATTTATGGATAAAACCATATTTGCTTTGTCCATATACAGTATGATTCTTCAGAAGGACTAAAGACAGCACAGTGGCAGATGAATTAGTGCTAGGTAATGCCCATTAGAAAGAAAAATATAATTTGAATGTAATTACTTACAAGTTGTAATAATCTAAAAAAACAGATTCGTTACAGTTTTTCAGCTTAAACCTCTGATCAGTGTAGCAGCAGTCAAAACAGCAAAATTATCAGAGTGGGGCAGAGGATGTTAGCAAAAATATTTTAATATTATGAACTATTGCAAAGACTTATCTTCCCCTGGAGTAACACATGAAATTTTGGTCATCTCTCTTCCACAGATTAAGGGGACTCTAAAGAGGATGGTAAGAAATAATAGGGCCACTGAAACACATACGTTTCAACATATGTTCACATATGTAACAGCAGCAGTCAGAAAAGCAATAAATAAAAAGGCATGATAAAGATCTGATGAATAAACAGAACAGACTAAATAAATAGATAAATGTCTTTGCCTACCTATCTTTGTAAAAGAACAAGGAAAGAGAGGGCAAGAATTGAGCCTGCACATGGCTGAATAAATAGCTTCTAGCTAGGGTGAGCCAAAATCTCACCTCCAGCCAACATCACTGGAGTGGTATGACTTTGGGGTATGCTCAAGTTCTTTTCCCACACTTGCATTGGTAGGAGCCTTAAGTCTATGTCAGGTTGTGTACTTGCATGTAAATAATGCAAATACTAAGTGAGTCTGCACTTCACAGCAGACATGCATGTGACTGGCAAAGAAGACTTGTTATGTCCCCTGTTAGAGTGAGATGAGGTTAGAAAAGTATTAGGTCCATACCCCTTCACATCCCCAGGGTCAGTCAGCCTTCCAAAGATGAAGCATCTCTAAAAGGCCTCTTTCCTCCCTTTAGAATGTGGTTTCTATGCACAGATTTTCTTTCAAGGCAGAAAACCTTACTTTAAGACCTGGCAAGGGCTTTTCGCTAAGACCTGTGTCCTTGAAGACCTACCCTGTGCAGATGAATATGTACTGTACACACTCACATTTTATAAAATTCTCAGTGAAAAGAAATATAATCGTGTCTCTCAGTCATGACTCATTGAAACAGGAAGCACCAACATCAATACCCATTCTAAGGGGAAATAAAATAGTAGCATGTGAAAAAAACACCAACCCCATTAAAAGTTAGCAAAGCCAAAGTCAGAAGAACTGTAATAAAAGCTAGATAAACTGTATGATCTGTAAGTAAAACCTACTGCTGCTGATTTAACTGCAAGTGGTTTGGCTTTCTTAGCTGCTTCTAACTTTGTCTGTGTATATACTGCTGTTTAATATTGCTCAGATCCCTGTTAAGTGGCATGTAACTCCCTGCCTAGTTAGTGCATGCTAACAGCTTTTGTTCGGGCTGCATGGCTGTCATTGTTCTACTGGTGGACTTCTGGAACTGTATGGTTTATGTCTGTGACTATAGTTAAAGGATGGAAAAGAGAATTATCAGATTCCTGTTTCGCTCTATATTGCAAAGCTTCTGTCTTTTGTGGTGCATTTTGGTATAGTGAAGACTCAAATCCCTGCTTTCTTGCCCCCTTCTTTCCCTCCTCTCCCCAATGTGCTTAAGGTGCATAAATTGTCTATCTAATATTCCCTGCCTGAAGCAGTCAGATCTGCTAATGCCCCAGGGATGTCCAGAGGTATACACTCACTGAATCTTTAGATTAATAATTAGGTGTCTCTGAAAGACAGAAATGCTCTGTAAGATACATAGAAGCACAAGAAGCATTGGCTATACAGTTCTGGTTTCTGGAATCTGACAGCAAATTTGTTAACTTCCTCAACAAGAGGTTAAAGCCCTAGTCAAGGTGAATATACTCATCAGTAGGATACAGATCCTTGTTCCATCTTACCTGCATGTTTTCCCTGGGAGGTCTGGTCCAACAGTGGCTTAAAATAGCATTTTATGAGACTCTGAGAAGAGCCCATACATGGTGGCTGATCTTCACAGTGGGGCTCCCCCAAAATATCCAGTGTGCAACTAGACTGGCTTCCCACAGTGCACAAAAAATAACAGATAAAGATTCTAAAGTCTGGGCAAAGATTTGCTCCTTTTCCTCCTCACAAACTTTCCACTAATTCAAATTTGCTTCAATATACTTATCGTTTAGAGTTCTGGAGTCTTTTCACCTGATACGGAAGTCAATCCCAACCTGGTGCTAATAGAGAATATCTCAAAAAAGAGACAAAGGTTGTCTTTAGCTCTGAATACAGCCTGGGCTTGCTATCAGTTAATTCTCCCCCACAAGGAGTGCAATGGGCCTATTGTCATCTCAACAACTGTGACACTTCAGTACACCAAAGCTGCCTACATTGTGGGACATGACAATTCTGCTAGGGCACTACAGAATGAAAGCCACATCCACTAATTATATTTCTAAACAGACTGCAGATTATATAGACTTTATATAACCTATAGGGCTGTATGAAGCTAAAACTTATAGTTGTAATTTAAATCAGGAATCAGTTTTAGGATGAAGACTGAGATGACGGGGATCTCAGCTTGTCTAGCTAAACTGTATTACATCTGTCTTTGGGTTTTTCTTCTGTGCCGGGCCGGGATAGATGGCGTACCATGGGACTATGTAAAACCGCAAACGGTTGTTCCTCACAGCTCCCGTGTGTAAACATTGACAGAGCTCCAGCGGAAAGGCAACTGCCAGGTTGCCATCCCCTCAGCGTAGCTTCACTGTGGCTCACCGGCCTCATCTTTCCCAGCACCTTTCCGCGGCAGTAGGCGGGAGCCACTCTTCCCGCCGACGGACGGCGCTCGCTCTTCAGCACAGCCTCTCAAACCGGCAGCCTCCACCCTCCGCCTGTTTGACCCCCCAGCACGCGGGGGAATCGCGACGTCCCACCCACCCGGCACGACAGCGGCCTTCAGGCAGCCCCGGCTCGGCTCGGCTCGGCTCGGCTCGGCTCGGCTCGGCTCGGCTCGCCACTCCCCGGCCCCGCCATAGCGCCGGACGCCTCACGGCGCCGGCCCGCCCTTAGCAACGGCGTCGCGTAGCGCCACGCCCCGCCCCTGTTCCTCAAGTCTCGTGAGATCTCGGTGCAGCCGTCTCCTCCTCTGGTGCGCGCTGGGCTGCTCTCGCGAGAGCTGGAGACAGCGGCGGTTGCCGGGCCTGGGCGCAGCGGCTGGTGGCGGCGGGAGGCGGTGGCTTGGCAGCGGTGCTGTGCGGGTGAGTGGCGGGCGGTGACTGCGCGACTGAGAGCGAGACTTGGTGGGGCTGCGCGGCGGCTGTGTGCCGGGGCGCCGGGCTTCCGACGGGCCCATGCGGCCGGACTCTCAGCCGCGGCTCCTGGTCTGTGTCCCACTTACGGGAGGCAGCCCCTCCGTGCATCTGCCGGCCCCTTGCCCTGTGACGGACCGGACCGGGCTTGGGTCACCCACCGGCGCCTCGGAGCACCTCAGCCGGCCTCCTGAGGTAGAGCACCGGCCCGAGGGCCTGACGGCGGGTTTCCCCGTCGCCTCAGACGGGTCGTGTTCTGAATCTTTTACGCTGTAAAAGCATCGTAGAGAGATTACCCGCTCCCGGCCGCTGCGCCTTGATGATTCTGTTACGTGTGGTGTCACGAGCAGGCCGAACACTGCTTAAATTACTAATTTAATCATTTATTGTGTATCGGTAAAACCTGCGGTTGCTATGAAGGCTGTACAGAAGCAGTATTATTGCTTAGACTGGCTGACAGCGATCATGTAGTTCCTGAGCACTGATTTACCTCCTCATATGATTTCATTATGTGTTCAATATCTTTATGATACTTTTCGTTGTAACCGTATTTTATTTGCAGAAAGTAATTGTTTTTATGATAAACCAGTCATAGTACAATTATGTGTCACACTTGCTTGTCATTACCTTTTTCCTTTAAGTTTGCTTCTGTTTCTAACTTCTGCATCCTTTTCATTTTTATCTCTGATCCCATGAAATGTATCACTTTAGAACTCCCTTCTTTCAGAATTTCGATTCAGTTCCATCACAGACCTTTTTACAGGTGTGTTTCTCTTGCTTGTCTGACTTCTTTGTACAAAGGAGTCGTTGCATTGTATCTTTTTGTTCTGTTTTGTTCTGGTATGGTTTGTTTTTGTTTTTTTTTTAAATGTGGGCTGCCTCTCACAGGTTTGAGTGCAGCCTGAAGTCTGGCTTCATGGTAGCCTTTTGGCTGTCATCTCTGTTCTTATTTTTGTGCTTTTTTTTCCTCATGAATCATCTTCAGTGATTCATTTAAAGAGCCCTTATCTCTGTTATTGCTTCAGCTTTGGTGATCCTTTCCCTGGAAGACCCTCTCTTACCCTCTTCAATTTGCTCTTGCGTTAGATGATCCATGAATACAGTTCAAATTATCCTCTTCACACTGCTCACAGTTCATAACCAGATAGTTCACACGTTACTTTTTTCATCTCGTGTTAAAAAAAAAATAATCTGTCTTTGCATTGTTTTCTGTAGGTTACCTTGATTTTCCTATAACTTGAACACAAGTACAGTGAAAAGGATATGGCTGGGGTCGTTTTTCTTTATCCATTTCTCTGTAGTTAAGAAAAGCTGTTTCACTGTGTTTGTTCTGGAGGTCTGTTAGTGTGGATTTGTCTTTGATTTTGTTTTTCTAATTTCAGGAATCTGCCAAATGTCTTTGCATATTACCTTCCTATTTGTACCATTTCTGTCTCAAAAACTTGTTGCCATCTACCAGTGATGCTCTTGGTGGCTGTTCTTGGGAGTGTTTTTCAACACGTTTTTATTCGTGCTTTTGTCCACACTTAGTTTTAACTGGAGGTTAAGAAAAACAATAAGTTAAAGCAGCTTTAGGATCACACGCTGAATTCTTTCTCAAAGAAGAGGTTTCCTTTTAGGTGCCATTGCATTTTAAAATGGTAAACAGCTGATGTGTGGGTGATAACTGCTTATTAAGTTAGTCGCAAATGTCATCAGTGCTTTTTTTTTTTTTGTCACTTTGTTATAAACTGTATGCTTTCCTAGATTGCATGTTTGAGGCTGGGTCTGTTTTGTCTTCTATGCATTCGCAAAAATCAAAATCTCATTATATGCCAATTTCTTTTAGCGCAGCTTGTTTCAGCAGTGTTGCTTAAATCTTGTCCCAGTGCTGTTGCTTATCAATAAAACTATGTATCTCTTTAAAATATGTATAAAATAAAAGGCTACCTTAGAACTAATTTGAAATTTGAAAAATTATATGGTGTTTTCTTGCTCATTGAGATACACTGTTACTGATGCGTAACAGCCATGAGTGTAGACCTTGCTTGTTTGTTCATGAAATCTACCCGATACTTTGTTTCATGCTATTCATTTTGTCACTGACTATTACCAAGGCCTATGCCTGCTTTCTGTTTTATATTGATGAGCATCGGGGGATGGGGCTAGAAGGAGAGGCAAGAAGGTATGTTCTGCTTTTTCCTGCAGTGATAATCATGATTCTGGTTTTGTGTGGGAGAAGCTGCTCAATCAGCTGAGCTTTTTACAGGTAGACCTAGGCTGATTTTGCACAATGAATCCCAATACAGAGGCGGAGTTGGGAATCATCTGCCTCTTGCTTTTTTTAGGATTCTGATACCAGATAGGAGTGTTATTGTCATGTTCCTTTTAAGAATCAAGTTAAGCTTGCTGGATTTCTGTTGTTTACAGTTATAAAATAGGGATGTCACCAGCTTCCATGACTGCTTCATTTTCTTATTTATCATCTCCCCCCCCCCCAAGAGAAGCTTCAGTCCTGGCCTACTCCGTTAATATTGAGACTGTAATGCACGGGATGGTTCTCAGCTATGCTTTAATCAGCATCAGTTTGATAACATTTTGGTGATGGTAATTTCTAAAGCTACTTTATGTGGCTGGATTGTGACTGATTCCTGTGGTAGTTTGCAAGAAACTCACTTGGCAAGTGTGGGTTTCCATGAGATGCAGTGTTTGCATTATGAGCATGTGTACTTTGAACTGTATTTCTTAATTAGGATGTAATGTCACTGTGCTTGCATATCCAGTAAATCTTACTTGTAAGTTAGTTTTTGTTGTTGCTTTTGAGCTTTGACTAGAGGCAGCAAATGGGAGACTGTCACAGAAAGTCTAAATAAAGTCTTGGAGTTTCTGTCACCACTAATGCCAGGTTTTATCCTAGCTGGTTTCTTGTCTATTGGGTCTTTCATCTTATCCTGGTTCACCTTTACAGTGTATCTCACTGATAGAGCAGGTTAGAGCAGATGGGCTTCTGAAACCTGTTCTACTTTAGGAAATGCGTCTGACCGAGGCTTAAAGCTGAAGTAGCTGCCTGAAGCATTGCGTGTTACCTCAATGTTGTCTTCTGTACTGACAGCTGGAGCAATCAGTTCTTTGTTCCACCTGATGAGTTGGTGTCTGGAAGGTGACATCTTGGGCCTCTGCCTCTAAATTTCATATTATTTTAGTCATCTTCCTTAGTAAGACTCCAGAACTTTTCATCCTGACAAGTATTCTCAATAAATATAATGTGGCTGGCTGGCTTGAAATGTACTGACATTGAGATTAGCTTCACTTCTTTTCCTGACAGATTTCCAAAGATCATTTTCATTATTTTTTTTTTTTCCCCCTCACCTGCATACCTTGAGTGCAAGTCCTGCATCTCACAAAAATATATATCCATTTCTGTCCCGCATCTGGTGTTGTCTAAGTATTGCTTAATCTGCTGTGCACCTTTTGTGCATTGTGTTTTGTCATGACAAAGAACTGAATATACTTTAAGTGTTAGTTAACATAATCTGTGGCCATCACAAGTTAGCGTCTGTTACATCCTTTCATGTGCTCTTCAAGTAGTGGTGCAAACGCATTAATGGCTGTATTTTGCAATGCCTGGAGTGGCTCTACCACATCAGCTGTTAGCTTCCCAAACCCACTGAGTGTCTATCTTTACAATTCCCTTGTATTTGAGTAGTCTACAACTTTGATAAATTAGTATGATTCCAGATTCAACTTGATATTAGCAAATCTGAAGTGTCCTAGCTGTCTGTCTCAAAAGCCTTGAAAATTTAAGTCTGCTTCCTGGTTTCCTATTTTACCCAATTATTCCTTGTGATATCTCTTTGGAATATTACCTTTCTGCAGCGGAGTGAGAAATCGTTCTTTACACCTGGAGAATTGCTTAGTAGCTAATTAAATTAGAATGGCAATTAGTTTGGCCAGTATGACAGTGGTTTGTGATCTACAAAGGCTGTTTGGATTTGATTCTTTATTTCATGTGCTCCCAGTGCCTTTCTGCCTTTAGTAATGTTTCAGATGGAGTTCCTTGATTTCATGGGGGGCATGTACTTTTTGCAGATTTTCTGCTTTATGCACAAGGCCAGAATATTCTGCAAAAAGCTTTTTTTGTTGCCCACAGTGTGAATCAGTTTGAATCGGCAGGCTGAGAAAGTTGGGGCTGTTCAGCCTGGAGAAGAGAAGGCTGCATGGAGACCTTATGGCAGCCTTCCAGTATCTGAAGGGGGCCTATTAAGGATGCAGGGGAGGGACTCTTCATTAGGGACTGTAGTGATAAGACCAAGGGGTAATGGGTTAAAACTTAAACAGGGGAAGTTTAGGTTAGATATAAGGAAGAAGTCCTTTACTATGAGGGTGGTGAGGCACTGGAATGGGTTGCCCAGGGAAGTTGTGAATGCTCCATCCCTGGTGGTGTTCAAGGCCAGCTTGGCCAGAGCCTTGGATGAGGTGGTTTAAGTGTGAGGTGTCCCTGCCCATGTTAGGGGGCTTGGAACTAGATGATTTTAAGGTCCTTTCCAACCCTAACTATTCTATGATTCTGTGATGGGGGGGGGGGGGGGGGGAATAATTTGAACCACAGTTGAAACAAATTCTTTTCTATTGCAGAAGAAAACAGATTTGCAGAAGTGTTTAAAAATTAATCAGGAGAAGTACTTACTTTGAGGAATTCATACGTCA